CCTGCTTTTAAATAAAAGCCGTTAATGTCCCTTTTTTCTTCCACTCCCACGCTTTCCTTCCTGTCACACACACGGAATCTGCTGTCACAGGTGTTGTTACCTGAGTTGTCACGTGATGCAGAAGCCCTGTCATTCAAGGAACCCTGAACTGAAACATCGAGGATTTTTTTTCCAACTTTAAGTATTTTGTTTTTTACCCATAAACACTTCAAAGTTTAATCTGTAACAAATATCTTCTTTTGTCCACCTTTATTGTTCATCATTTAAAATACCAACAGTTTCAAATAGTAAACTATGTGGTATTTATTAGTGAAACCATAGATTAAATGTTGGTAATTGGTTTGCCTTTATTACTGGATTCCTTTAACCGCAGTCATACCGGTTAGAGCTGAAACTGGGCAAGTGCTGTCATAATCAGAGTGACATCATGTGACAGCACAGGTAACGATATGCCTGTGGCGGGAGATTCCTGAAGTGTGACAGAAAGGATGACAGGATTTCTATTGAGGATACTTTGTGTGCCATATCTTTATGCTAAGGACCTGTAAAATCACAAATCATTGGTCAGTGAGTATTACCTGCTTTTGCCAGCCTTTCTGAGTATAATGGATTAAAATGAACTACTGTTTGGCTCCATAAAATCAAATCATAAAACCCCCTAACAGCTAATGGGACGAAGAAGAGCTGGAATCAAGTTACAGTAACATAATTTGAAGACCTTATCATGAAGTTCTACAATTTCACTTACTTTTCTCCAGGCCCTCTCCTTTCTCATCCTCTCTATTTAAAAGTGAGGTTGAACTACACAGCTCCATCTTCCCACAAAAGTGGTTCAAAAAGAATCAAAATGAAGTAAAATATTCAAAGCTGAACTATACTTGTGAAAAAAAGGAAACGTTTAAATCTCAGATTGGATTTGATGAATGAACTATTCAATTAAAAAAAAAAACAGCCACCAAGAAACCAAAATCATCAATCCTTTTGGTGGGATTTTGAGTCCAGCCCTCAGGGTTAAAATTGTTCAAGTGTTCCTTTAACCGTTTTTTAGCATTATATTTTTAACTCAGGCATCACATCACATGAAGCTGAAGTCCACCTCAGTCTGCCTCATTGCAAAGCTACTGTGTGCAGATGTGCTGTGTGAAAACTTGGCCTTGTGTTTGGTGTCAACACAACATACAGTCACATACAGTCACAACTAATCTGTTTATTTACTCAACTAATCAATAAGGTATTAGTTGTGTTTATTGTAAATCTATAGTTTGAATGATGTTTGAGCCCTAAAATGGATTCATTTACTCTGAAATACCAAGTAAAGTTAAAACAAAGGATGAATGATGAGCCATTTCCTGGCTGAAACATTTTTAGGTCTTTCTGTTGTTGTTTGTTGTCACATGACAATATGAGTCACTCTGGCATGGTAGGACCTGCCAGTACGGCTCAAATTAGTGCTGTCCAGCCTGCTATGAAATACCACGTCTGCCTGCTAATGTCAACAGAACCATCAACACATGGAGGACTCGCGGAGGCCGAGTATGTCAAGACTACATGATGAAACACATTATCTTAGACTCAAAAATCTTGCCAATGTATTGTGTTAACATCGCTGCTTAAAAACACGTTTAAAAGCTGCTCATAGAAAAATTGTGATATGGTTGCTTAGTTTCAAAAGAGGGAAATAAACAGATTTCAGGGCGAGAACACAAATGGGCAAATCTTTGACATTGAAAGAGTAAAAAGATAAAGACAAGTTTGTCATGAACACTGAGAGGCCCACCTCATTGTTTATCATGTTATTTCTTTTATGTATATGTTTTTGGAGTTTCTAGTCACAACTACTCTACAGGTTTATGCCCTTGACAGGTACACAGTTTACTTTTTTAAACAGTTTTTTCCTCCATGACTTCACAATGTAACTCTAATTTAGATAGTTTGGAAGTAGATTATTTTGTGCATTCTGTAGTATCAGTGCAGAGCTAAGAACAATTAAATCATAAAATTATAAGGTGTGTAGTTTAATAAATACTCAATTGCCAAAAGGTTGATTCCGTTGATCTGGACGCAGCATGTTCAGTGGGAGAAACGCTTCGTCACTCATCCAAGTGACTTCTTCAGTCTCAGCTGACTGCAGGTTTCCCCAGTCTTATAAACAGTACATTTGCACAGTAACTGAAACTAGCCCACTGAAGGAACAACGGGCTGTGAGGTCAGTTCCTTGATCATTAACATGCAAATTGTCATGACCATTGATCAACAACCACTGATCACAGGGAAACCTGCAGTCAGCTGAGACTGAAGAAGTCACTTGGATGAGTGACGAAGCGTTTCTCCCACTGAACACACTATGTCCAGATCAACACAATCAACCTTTTGGGATTTACTTACCTGGATGATTTAGCATGCATCAAGACAATAGTCCGTTGGCTGGTTCATAATAATATGACCCATTTATCCATCAGAATACAAGATCAGTTTATATCAGGAGTTTCTCAGAGTGCTGTGAAGCCAACGCTTTATCAGCTTTCCAACAGACTACAAAGTGTCAGCCTCCATAAGGATAAGGCACATTCCTCAGAGAGTAAAAATACAGCAGGAACTAGTCCACTCAACGTATCAGATCCAGGAACATACAAACCTGCCAATCCCGACGGCAACTTCAAACAAAGCATGCAGTGTGGCAGCCAATGAGGGCTGACTTCCAGAGGCAGGTTGTGGAATGTGGAAAGGTCAATGATAAAGAGATAGAGCGCTACATGGAGCACACCAGCTAGCTCCCAGCACACACACACTGTGAACACGAGCTAGTTTGGCTGTGAACTCACCTGAAGGACCTTTGCTCATTAAGCACATACTGACAAATGCAGAAGTACTGAGGTTTATGGAAGCTTAGTTTAGGAAAATTTAACCTCGTTCCAACGTCATGAAAATTTTTCATTAAGACCACCAGATAAAAAAAAAAGAAAAGAAAAAATGAATCCAGGATCCTTCTGGATTCAGAAGGATAGCTGGATCGGGATTAGTCTGTGGTATTTTCTTTTTAACATTAAGATGATCTCTATTCACATCTCATCTGCATTTGTGAAGATATGACACAAAATGTCCAATTTAGCCTCATCTCATCGTGGTGAAGAAGACTAAAAAAATTCCGGAATCCCGATCAACTATGAAACTTAATCCAGTTCAGCCAAGACCCTCCAAGCAAAAAACACTAATCCAAACCTTTTGAGTAATCCTAATAAACAACCAACCACACTTATCATCACCAATCAATATTAGATTATTTTTTCACTAGTTATGTTGACATTTTATTTACTTATGCATTATTACTATTATTTTATTAGTATTATTTTTTGTTTATCGAATTATCAGAAATAACAGAAAAATTAAATGAATGATGTAAATTAAGTTAACGACTTATTGCCTTTACTGCACCAATCATGCTCATGTTTGTAGTCGTCCCCCAACAGGTCAATCCTGATTATGTACCAGCTGCCTAAAACTTTGTTGCAGAGGGCCTTACACTAACTCTTCTCCCCAATTGCAGCAGGACGTGACAAAGAGCCTGCAGGGTTGAACCACGCTGCAAACTCCTGAGAGCCCAAACTATCGAGCACCTGCAGTACAGACAGCACTGATGTTTGTTGACTTAAGCTGCAGGACTAGCTGAGAGATAAGAGATCGCCACACACAAAAACACTGCTTACTAACAACTAGTCTGACAACCTGGAGTGGCTTCTTAAGTTTTTTAAGAATGTTGTGTTTTTCTTTGAGACTCAGCAAGCACGATAGTTCTGCTTCAACTACTCTCATCATAATTTGCTACAGTCCTATCAACAAAAGCGTTGTTTCAGTGTTAGAGCTGTGTTAAACATTGAGGTATAGTGTAAAGCATGTGACTCAGAACAGCACCATCATTACATAATGACGACATGTTGTGGAAAACAGAGGCAATGAGATGATGGTGTGCTGAAGAAGCCAAACTTCATGCCAGTCTGCTCTTTCTTTAGCGAGGCCGGCTTTCATCTGATCCAAGAATTACGGTCTACCGGAGAGAGCCGCCCGCCAAACTCAGCAGAGGTAAGAAACTGCAATCAGAAGCTGGCAAATATCCTTCTAACGCTAGCTGTGAAAATACAGGCAGTTACCACTGTGTAGTCCGTAATCAAGCAAAGGCTCACATTAATACGTTTGGACAGCTTGGACATTTCCATGCCAAAAAAGCATTCCAGTTACATTCAGTGGTTTCCTCAGAAATCCCACTGAAGGGATTATGAAAAACTCAAAACTTTGTATTAAAAAATATCAAATTTTAAATTTCTAATGTAGTTTTCTCATCTTGATGGGATTTAACAGGCTTATCCTTATTTTTCATCACATATATGGCAAAGGTAACATGTTACACACCCAAGTATCTAAAGTTATGCAAGTGAAAAAACAAAAAACAAAAAAATCTGCTTTTCCCTTGTGTCTGCCCTCGCACTTCTGCCATACACCAGCACAACTCAGGTAAAAAAAACAGCCAAAATCCACAAATATCGATATCGTTTGTAAAATCTCTATATGAGCAAGCTTGCCTTATCAGCTTAAAGTAGGACAACTGTGCGAGCAAACGTAAGTGCATGCTGGGATTCAATTCAATTTAATCAACAAAATGTCAGAAAATGATGCCCCATGGTGCTGAAACTGACTTGCTTTGCTTGACCATCGTTAAAAGACTCGATATAAGAAGCTCTAAAGTCCTATTTTGTCTTCAACTGTGGCTAAGAATGCAGATTTCAAGCTTCACTCAGTGTAAAAGATAAAATGATGATATCAATTGCAAAACAAACTCACTGTAAAGTATTTCAATTTTTCCAGACACAGACACAGAACACCAAAAACTGTCAAAAATGAGCTCCTTTTTTTTAATACTGATTTTTTTTTTTTGCGTTATTATGATGATGACAATTATTATTATTCATGTTATTCGTGTGTTCTTGCCTCTGTTCCTGAGCACTTACAGGGCTCTGTTGATCTTGGCTCCTTCAGTCATTCCACAGAGGATTTTCCCCCCTCTAATGCAATAAGCCTGGACCTCTTTCCCTGTTACAGTGAGAATCACAATATCTGATGTAAGTGTATCATTTCTGTTTTTCCCCTATCCCTCATCTTCCCTTCCTTTTTTTCCACCCCCTGAACATGATTTTTCACCTAAATCTTGTCATATGTACTGATAATGTCCACATCTTCCACTTTTAAAGATGATAATTTGCATTTGGTGGTTGAAGTTGGATGTGGAGCACACCACAAACAGCTAATCGAGTCCTACACAGATAGGGCTGCCACAAACGATTATTTTGATAGTCGACTAGTCACCGATTAATTTTGCGATTAGTCGACTAATCAGATCATCATCCATTGGATGTAAAACGTACACCTTATTGCACCAGCAGCATCTGCTCTTATATAACTATCATTAGCTTACAGCTTTAAGTGTTTAAGGTGCTAACTAAAAATAAAGACAAGATGATAGTTTATTACATTTTAATGAAATTTGCAGATTGTTTCGGTGAAGTTTAATAAACTCCTTGCTATCTAAAATATAACAGGACACCGGAGTATATTCTCGAGTAGGGCTGGGCCATATTATACCGTTCACGGTAATACCGGTATAATGTTAGGCAACGATAGGAAAATGAAATATCGTGATAGAATGGGAGTAAAACGCGCATGCGCAGTGCCTTTGTTTTCATACGCACATGGCCGATTGTTGAGTGAAACAGATGAACCAGAATTGGTTTGTAAAAATGGTGCAACTTCAGTGATGTGGAACTGGTTTGGTGTTTGTCCGTCAGATACACAACAAAGCACATTTTTTTGCAGAACATGCAAGCGGCCGTTGTTATTGTCATATTTGTCGGACTAAGATGCTCTTAAATCTGGGAGTAATCTGGGTCCTAAACTCCGTAATCTTCAGGTCAAACAACACTGCAGCATCACTTAAGAGTTAAAAACTGTCTAAATTCTTTCATCTTTAATAAAACGATCAACATTGCTGCTTTACCAGGTGTAACTATAAAGTTTAACTTCCAGGCATCCATGAAAACAAAAGTTATTACATTTAACGGAGTTAGAAGTTAGCAGGAAGCTAGCGGAAGTCAGCTCGCTAGTTTCGCTAGTTACCTAAGCATGATATTGCATGTTCTGACTGAGAGATTTCTGAAAAAATCAAACGTACAGCTCTGCTATCACTTCCAACATAAATGAAGACAGGAAACTAAACAGCAGTGACGTTTGTAGGGTTACTGAAGTTGGGCTAGCTGGTATATAATGATGTGCTACGTGATCGCTAGCGACACAGCTATGTTAGCATAACAGTGAAGCTGGAGGACAAACACTAACACTTTTCCACTTATAAAAGTTAACGTGAAGGTTCTTCATGGTTAGAGACAAATGCAATCGCATGGCAGGATGCTGTAAACGGACCAAACTTCAGTCAGGAGAACAACTGAGACAATCCATCCACAATACGAGGTTGGTCATTAATATACTGCAACAACATGGGAATAGAGCAGCTGCCAGAGAATTCAACATTAATGAATCAATGGTACAGAAGTGGAGGAAGCAAGAAGGAGTTTAATAAAGTTTGATTTATCTGACTGCTTTGTTTCGCTTAATGTGCCTTATAATCCCGTGCACCTTATGGTCTGAAAAATGCGTACTGCACACTGCAGTTTAATGTTGCAAAGCACCTTTTTTTAACTTCAGTGGATATTATACATGGTTATGCTCAGGATATGTCAGCCCATTTCTACTGGAAATGCCTTTTGGTTAAACTTTCAGCAAGGAATTTGCATTTGCACTGTTACATTTTTATAAAGCTTTAATGTACATAAAAACCAGCTTCTTGTTTAAGTGAAAATAAATGGAAGGTTGTCTTTTTGCGCTAGTAATGTTGTGGAGTTGTATTTTGTCTCACATCAATTATATCGTCGGTTATATCGTTATCGCAAATTTTCAAATATATATCGTGATAAATATTTTTGGCCATTTCGCCCTGCTCTATTCTCGAGCATCTCACACTTCTGATAATCAGCTGTCTGCTTGACGTTTATTCAGCTGTGTAAAAACTATAACTTTAATCTCAGCCAAACCGATTTACTCAGGAACAAATAAAATACTAAAAAAAAGCCAAACAATAATATTTTTAAGTTATCTAAGTGACTCATATATATTTAACCTGAGTAGCGAAAGACGGCGGTGGGTTTGAAAACGATTAGCCGGGAGTCCGGTGTTCTCACGGGCTCTAATGAGCCTTGCCCCCGGCTAGCTATCGAGCTAGTGGGTAACAGACGTCTCTGAAAACGTCGGAGCGCTTTTAAAAATATGTGCTGCCATCTTCTGTTTCAGTCCGTTATTACACTCTTAAATCCTGCTACTTATTCCTGCGTCTTTTGTGATCTTACAAAGCTTCAAACGACGCGTCCACTATTAAATTAGTCGTCGACGATTTTGATAGTTGACGTAATCGTGACTAGTCGACTAATCGTGGCAGCCCTATACACAGAGCAGATTTTTAATAAAAAATTAACTTATGTTTAGGGAGAAAAAGTAAGACAAGTAGGTTTTTGTTCCAAAGCTTTTTTTGGCAGCTTGATGTCACGATTTCAAGCTTGGTTTCAGAAATTTTACATGTGGTTGTTAAACACTGATCTATAAAATATACTTGCAAAAAAACAGAGCTTATAAAGGAGAAATTAATGAATTCAAACGATCTTGTTTTAAAGTCTTGGGTTTTTTTTCTCAGTATGGGCAGATCTTTGGCTGTTAGCCTGCAGCTAAATCTGTTTTACCGTTACCTCTGCAGCTCACCTCTCCACAAACACCCCCCCCCCCCCCCTTTTCTCCCTCTTTCTACTCACTAAACTCTGATTCCTCTCTCACACACAGTTTTATCTGTGCGATCAGGCCCCATGAGAAAAGTCAGATTTTAATGTTTCCACTACAGCATCAACTCAACAAGCAACGACACAAACAGGACAGAAAGAAAATGGAGGTAATTGCAACTTCACATGTGGATACAAACAAAGAACTTCTAAATAGTCAAGACCTCCCACTCTCATAGGCTTCTGGTTTCACAGGGGGAACTTACTCCACTTACTATATTCCGCAATGGCCTTATAAAGCTCAGCCTATAATGGTACATTTCATCGGGTAAAGATTTTAACCCAATTAAACATTTAGGAAATCCATTTCTTCTGCTAATTTGAGCTTGAGCCATAGTATTAGTTATAAGATAAGAGGAGTGTATCCTATTTTTTATCTCTGTTGACTAAAGGTCAAAACTGTTGTTTTTTTATTAACACATTCTATATATTACAAACTAAAATGTGGGGTTGTAGAGGCTTTAATTGCTGTTGGTGGTGGTGACTAATGAACTTCACGGTTATTTATAAATGAAGGAAATTAATTTCCTACATTTTAAAAATTTGAATTGATTACAATTCAACTATTCAAAGGCTCAGAAGTTCATTTTTCCACCTCAAGTCATCACACAAGATCAGAACTAAGTGAAAAAGGAAAACCGTGCATCGCAGACTAGTCAAATGTAATCAAATGTGCCAGACAGCCGTCATGTCTTCAAAGTTTCATACCTGGAAACATAGTGGCTGCAACTTTCTGATCTCTTTTTTGAAATAGACACCCTGTTGCCCTTTACTCAGACCACACCAGAAAATTGTTTCTTTATTTTTTTTTGCCCCCCAATACCATCATTTTCTTACTCAATAACAAATCCCCCACACACCTCATGCTCCTGCCTGTTATTGCCCTTTTGCCTCCAGCCATCACCTTGTACATCGCTGTGAAAGCTGTTTGGACTTCACAGAAGAAGCCTGAACAGCAGCTGCATTCGGGCCCTTCTGGTCAGTTCGCATCAAAGCAATGACAACATCCCTCCTGCCAGCAGCTCTGTCTCCTGCTGGACACATCTGTCAACAGTCATCTGTGATTTCTGATCATTTCCACCTTTATGGCTCGACTCCTCTGCTGTGATTCACCTAAAAACTGGCCAGGAATCAAGAAAAACTCTTAAATCTGCTTGGAGTGAATCCTTCAGACTCAGTAGATTTTAGGTACTGCAGCTTGCATTATAAATATGAGCAAAGGAAATACAGAAACTGCAGAGGAATTTGAAAAAAGTAGCATATAGTGAGTGATCAGACATATTTTTGAATGCTTCTTCTTTACTGCTAAATACAGTTACAAGCAAAAACTCTTTAGCCCCATTGTGTATTAGGTTTGTTGGCATAAATTCAATGTCCAGCAGGTTTATCACCAAAGCCTACATTGCACACTGAAATAGCTGCCAAATGGGCCTTTATTATGGAAGAAGTTTGTCTAGCTTTGTCCAGTAAACTTTGCATAAAACAGCACCTCAAAGTGTGTAACTATAAGTACACTTCTTTCTAACTACCTTAGTCAAGTCCCACCACAGCTTCTCCATATTAATGGTTCAGACAGACACTATCTATCCTCTTCTGAAACCCAAAGCCAATATTCTGAGGTATGCTTGGGTCACTGTACTACTACTGAAAGGTCCATCAATGATTCCTCACTGACAGCATTACATTTTCTTCCAGGATTTCTGATATTTTACTTACTACATGTTGCCTGTTATACTTTGTAGGCTTTTGCATTACCTGAGGAATCAAAGAAGTCTCTGACATCATTGAGCCATGATCATGCTTTACTATACGTCGGTTTATTCTTCCTTCTCCAGACACATTTCTAACCCATAGGCCAAAAGTTCTAGTTTTGTTTTGTCCCCCCAAAGATCTGTGTCATCATTTCAATCATCATCAGTAATGAGTCACAGCACTTCGATAAATCATATGGTCTTGGGAATAAATTCAGGAACAGGTTTCATTTCAGCCAGTGAAACTGCTAGTCAGTGACTGAAACTGGCAGGGCTCTCTTAGGTTTGGCCCTGTTACATAGTGCCAGCAGGCACTGAAGGCAGGAAATGAAGGAGAGATGGATGCAGCAATGGTTCCCAACAGACTTCTACCCGCAGACATTGTAGTTTATTGTTGTGTTAGCCAAAGGAAATTATTATGAAGTAGTAAAATTTAAGTAAAAAAGTGTTGTTAAATGTATTTATCCTGCCAGGTAGTATTATAAGTTTCCTGCCAGCAAGCAGAATAAACACTAAGCGGTATCTTTTGGGACCAGTTTTGATTATTTATACTGGAATGAAGGCTTTTTGAGAAACCTCCAGGGTACCACAAAACCCCCTCTTTTACCCTGCAGGGAGAGCCAACTGGAGCCTCCTTTCAGGATGATAATAAAGTATAATACTGATATCCTACTTTAAGGAAAAACAAACAAAAACCAAACAGCAGCATACACTTTATGCTCCTTTCCCAACAGACTCTCTATATGCCCCTTGTCTGCCACACAAAGTCGTTTATTTTTCCACTTGTTGATTGTCTGCTGCTTCTATGACCTGCGTGGATTTGGTTTATCTGGTCCACATATCATGTCAGTGAGGATGACTGTTTAACCTGCCAGCCTGTTTTTCCTGTTTGATTACCTCAGTTGGCTCCTCGTTTTTCACCACAGAGCAGACAATTCCAATGTTTCTACAACTAGCAGCAGACAGAAGAAGATGCTTTTTATTAAAGCTGTTCTGGAAACCCGAAAAAGTAAACACAACTTAAACATTTTCTGCTAGAAAAGCTAATTACTTCCTTTCACCTGTCCCTTTGGGCTTTGGTTTGTATAATTTTAAAATTATCAGGGACCTAACAAGGTATTTTAAAACCATGTTATCTCAACACTGTTAGATTCATATTCAGCACATATGCTGTGTTTTTGTTCACAATGAACAATCACTCAAAGAAAACACACATGTCCAATTTTTTCCAGTAAACTTGCCATTTGTTTCTTTCAGATTCAGTTGAGGCTGTAATTTAGATATTAGTTGTAATTACAATAGTTGTAGTAGTTGTCGTAATTACAGATATTAGTCAGTTAGCTACTATCTAACAAAAATATAACTTTTCAATATGGCTGTACTGATTGTGAAATTCTGAGCTGATACTGTTAAAAGACTTTGGCCTAAATCCTATCCTCATGTACCCACAGTTTATTTAAATGTACTTTTCTTGTTATCTGTTCCCACTTCTGTGCTATAAACACTAACATCTTTTTAAAAGACTTTCACCTTTTCATTACACTGCCTTTGAACTCTCCAGCAGATAAACTTAACTGTTTATCTCACTTACTAGTAGATGGATATCAGCTGTCTTGCAGCTGCATCCCATCTCGCAACTTAACACGTGAATATTCCTGATGAATATTTTGCCATATATGATGTAGATGCTCCCGCTGCTGTTTGGGAATGGTGCATATGTGAGAGAGAGGAATGACCCTTTCATACAGCTTCTCTGGCATCCCAGGAATGTATGGTGTGCCCAGCACCAACCGCACGACCTTACAAACACAAACCCCCCTTTCCTCTTACTGCACACTCATGAAGCACAACACAAATGCAATCCATAACATGACATCCGCCAGCCAAGAGGAAAAGAAGCGGGAGGGGAAAAAGAGACTAAAAAGGAGAATTCATTCATGCACGAGAGAGAGAGAGGGAGCAGCTTAATATCCTATTTTCCTGCTTTAGCCTGCCCACACAAACAACTCAGTCCTCCTTCACAGGTGAAAACGGAAGTTCACCGTGATCCTGATTATCAGGAACCAGCTGAACTTATCGGAAAGCAGACTAGCAGACTCAGAGTTACCAGAACCCGTTTGTCTCCTGGGTGTGCAAATGAGCCATCCTGTGAGCTTATGAGATCTTAGCAAAGAAAGACAGTTTGAACCTAAAGTTAGCTTCACATTTTAATTGTTTAACAACTTTCACAAGTGGCCCTCAGATTTTTTTTCCACAGCTCAGACACGATTCGCTTTAGTCTACGCTTTGAGTGATTCATCAGCTAACACACAAACACAAGGAGAGCAGACTCAAGGAGGCTGCTCCGGTATCCTCACACCCGGACTGGCCGGACCGACCAGAGCGCAGCTAACGCTAGCCTCCGTTAGCGGCTCAGCGGGGAGCGGAGACGCGCCACAAGCTAACCCACAGCACGGTCCGGTAACCGAAGTCAGAGCCACGCGGGGATACTCACCAGGGATGTCCCAGGAAAACTTTTTCTGCCGACCCCGCGACGTACTTGGAAACTCTCCAAAAATCAGAAGGGCGGGAGCGGACTAACTTCAGGGCAAACTGTGTGATATTAGCCGAAGTCTTACTTTCCCGACGCCATGTTGAACAGAGGAAACTGGAACATCCGGGAAACTGAAACCAATCTCCATGGAAACCGAGTTAGCGACGGGCTACCGGGAGACGACTCTTCTTCGGCTTTTTTTTTTCTTCTTTGTGGTTGGTAAACATTACCGCCCACCGGTAGACTGCACTATTTTTATTCTTTATCCCGCTGCTGTAACACAATGATATGTTCACATATGGCTTCTTCTTGGCATGACAAAGATTTGCTCTGCACTCTCCATATACCTTACATCCAGCTGCTTTAAAATCACCAGCTAACCTAACATGCATGTCTTTGGACTGTTTGAGGAAGCTGGAGTAACAGAAGAGATCCCACGAGGGCACAGGGAGAACATCTAAACTCCAAACCTCCAGAAAGGTCTCAGCCAACCTGGGAATTTGAACCTTTCAGTAAACCCCTTTGCTAACCACTTCAAGATGCTTTCCATAAGAGAATTGTCTAAGTTTATATCTTGAGAGTTAATGTAAGGTTACAACAAGAGAAACAAACAAAAAAATACAATTTTTAGAAGAAATGTATTGATCTCATGGCAGTAGAGTGTGTTTTAATGTTACAGTGACTAAACACAGTGGTACAAAACAGTCTGTTTTACAAATGTAGCCAATCGTCATATTTGCGGGACTGATGGAGTCTCATGCAGAGGCACCTCCAGAATTTTTTCATAGAGGGCCACTAAAAATACTGGGGTCCCACACCAAAAACAGAAATTCCAGTTTTACCATGTTGTCAAATATATTTTTGGGGGGTGGCTAGTTTTGTTTTGTTTTGTTTTTTTAATCTACCATGTCCAAGCAATGCAGGCACACATACGTACATGCATTAATATGTAGAATATGCAGTAAATTCTGATAAAACAGAGACAATTCAATCAATAACAGGGACAAACAACCTCACTATGAGCTCATATGGTAGGTTTTATCTTAACTTTAGTAAATAAAACTGTGGCAAATGGGGTTGGTTGATGATTCACCAGGAGAGACGGGAACAAAACTTGCTGATACAGCGCCAGGCTCCTATTGGGCCCTGTGTGATGCAGAGGTGGTGATGGATAGGTGGGACTACAGCCTTGAGAACAGATACTTGGATGCAATTTGACTTTCTGTGCCAGGCAAAGTTGGAGCGACATCATTCCTCAGTATAAGTTCAGGGACAAGTCATCGCGTTGCAGCTGTTGCTGCTGTAGGAGATGAGGAAAGCGAGGAAGGTGGGCGGAGAGATAGGAGAGAGCTAGCTGCACAGTGAGGAGTGCAGATATGTGACAGTCTGCAGGTGGAGGTGATCATCCATAAGAAGCTTCAGGGCAACAGAGGGATAGTTCAGGGTAATTTAGAGCAGCTAAAGCAAATGTTTGCTAAACATTCACAAAGAAGAACTGTTTTTCTCTGCTGAGCTTCAGCACCGCATTGCAGTGAGAACAGCCCAGACAAGCTGTGTCTGAAACAGAACATCCTCACCTTATCCCAGAATAACACATCTGCATACTCTGGGGATCTGTGAATTCACCATTTCCATCACAGCTGGTTCAGAGCTGCTCACGAGTTTGTTAAAGGGGACTGCAACAGTATGCTTACCGTCCAGAAAAAAACACCCCAGTGATGCCAAGCAGCACTGCAGTGCAGCGAGAACGACCCAGAGAAAGTGTCTCTGTTTGGCATTAAGATGAATTAGAACTGTATAAACAACCATATTCATTAATCTGCCACTGAAAGCCCTGATTTTGCTATGTTGCCATCTGAAGACAGAGACTTTTAAAAAACAAATTAAGCTTCTATATCACATCTGTGATACAAAAAAAGCTCTTTGTATTAATCAAAGAATAATTAATCCCCCGAAATGTACAATAATAATCAATTTTTTGTTGTATTTAAAAAAAATAAAATCATGTAAATTAAAATACAGATATTTTTAAGTTACATGAAAAATGTCTGTTTTTACAGATTTCTTTTTATATTTAATAAAGATGTTTAAATCTGTATAAACAACAATGTTACCCAATAATAAGTTCAAATACTGTCCAACTAATTAATCCAATTAAAATAAGAGAAAAGTACTGTTGAATTTTACTTTGTAATTTATGCAATATTTTGTATTTTCAGTCCATTCATAATGTGAAAAAATGATTTACTACGCAAATAAACCAGTTTGTTAAACTAGTAACTGGGTTTATATATATAAAAAAAATCTAACATTTTTGACTATACAAACATAAAGTTAATGGTTTTACTTCAGAAAATGTAAATGCAACATACTGTCAATTACAGATCTTTTCTAGTATATACTGATTGATCATATTTGATTCCACGTAAAATCATGTCTATTTAGTTGATATGATAAGATTGAAATATTCCATGAACCATGTAAACTCATGGTTCAGCAGCAAGTTATTAGTTTCCATGTATATGATGATCTCATCAGAATTTCCTGTGCTGCTACAGATTAAACTACACAACAGGGTAAATTACATTATGATAGCTTGACCTCAACCAGCAACATCAGTGAAGCAGAATTCAATAAAAATGATTAAATAATGTATAATAGTCCTGTGATAGACTGGCCAGCTGTCCAGGGTGTACTCCGCCTCTCACCCTGTGACAGGCTCCAGCATCAGGCTGATCTGGATTAGAATGAATGAATGAATGAATGGATGGATGAACATATTTTTCTGCAGTATCACTTTTCAACTTTAGCTACTAAAGAAAAATGTAAATCTATAATTATGTAAATTTTTACTTAACATTGAGAATTAATTGCAACTTTTAAAAACATTTGTAATCTTGTTTAAAAACAAGTAAACGACACCATTACGTCATTAACCACATTCCCCTCATCACTGTAAAAGCCAGGATATTACCTCAGTCTCTTTGCAGTTTCATCTGCACAACACTGACCCCTAGTGATCAAATGCACACACTGCTCTGTCAAGCTTTGCTCTGTGGCGTCCTCATCATGGGGAGGGGCTTTCAAAAAGGCCTGATGAGAGAGGGAACAGTTTTCTTTTTGTTCCCCACACACTAATAGAGTCATGTCATTATTAGTTTCAGAAATGATAAAAATAATAATGAAATTTGTGAACTAAACTGTGAAGTTTTATTTTACTCTCAAAGACGTACGTTTCTGTGAATGTTTTATTATTGAACAGCAAATTTTCATATGATGCATTTACCAGATTTCTTCTGCCAATACTAAGTGCATACACCTCTTCTGTTCCCGGTTTCATTGTCTGGAGATGAAACTATCACGTCACCCTTATTTTCTGTCATATATTTACTGTTACAGTAGTTGGTGATCATATTAAATGTCCCTGAAACCTAAACACACGGAGCTGGAAATGAGCAGGAAAGGTCACCTTTGAGAGTTTCTCTCGGTGGAAACATCTTCCCATTTAGATAGTCTTGCTTACTGTATTAATATGTTGAGGAAAAACCTACATTAATCTCTTAACCTGCTAACCTCTAATGACAATCAGCTGATTATAACTTCACTTGCAGCCTTAGCAGAAATTTATATAACTAGAGGTTTCTTTCAGCGAGAGTTTGATCATTTATTTCTGCAGTGGAAGCAAATTTGTTACATTTTAAATAGCAGCTTTTTTTGTGTCCCATTGCAGATTTGGATCAATACTTTGCTCATTTTCTGGTGTCTCTCCAGCTTATTTACAGGCTTTGTTTGTCCTGGGAAACGTGTGTGTTTGCTGAGCATGCTCCTCTTTTCCAGCTTTGCTTCTGCATGTATAGATAAATCTATATTTACTAATTTCCTTTATACAGCGAAATCACATTTGTCCTTTAAAATTCCTGCTTTTCCTCTCATTGTGGTTTCTAACTCTTAGGGAAAAGATATAGTTAACCAGATCTCAGCTGTGTTTTATAAACTGAGAACAGATGGTTTTCTCATGTTTCACTGCATTAAAGAAGTGTGGAGGAAAGTAAAGGCACCAACATCTGAGGGACTACAGGTTGGACTCTGTGATTAAAATGTGAAGCTGCTCAAACAGCTTTCTTAAATGAATCCACAGGTCAGCAGTTTGTCGAGCCGCCTCGCTGGTTTACATCCTCTTATGAGGTAATGAAAGCCCTGAATGGATGGTACAAAGCAGGACTTCATCATCAATCCTTCCAGTGTTCACTGGGCATCTAATTACTTTAACAGGGGGTCAAATATATATTGGACAAAGGTGAAATGTAAAATGTAGTCTGGCCTGTTTCATAAGACGTCACAAATTCCAGGTTTTGCTGCCTGTAGACTGTAAATGCAAAACCATAAAGTCAGACATTTATTGTTGTCATTTGTACTGTGAAAAATGCCTGTGCAGTAAAACAGAAATAGTCATGGTGTAAAAGCTCAAAAGATTTTTCAAGGTAAGAAAAGAAACAATCAAAAGAAAAATATAGCATGAAACACGCACTAAAAGCAAACAAGGAACAAAAACTCGGCAAAAAAATGCTAATCCACATACATCCAAAATAAATACTGCAAAAGATAAAACATTCAGAATGCTCCTGAAATATTTCTTTAAACTCCAAACCTTGTATTGAGTTCAAAAAGCATCTTCAGACCTTTTCAAATGTTGTTGTTGTTGTTGGTGTTGTTGTTGTTGTTTTTTGTTGTTGTTGTTGGCCTGGAGATCTGTTCCTCAAGAAAGTCTGGCTACTTGGAGGCAAAATATAAAGAAATGATGAATGAACACAATACTGTACCCACAGCATATATATCAAAACAAAGAGCAGAAAATTTTATTTCTGACACTAATGAAATATTTTGAGGTGATATTGCTAAATATTTAAATAAATAGAAAGTATGCCCCAGTGAAGCACAATTAAAAAACACAACTGAAACTGTGAAGGATGCATTTGTTAAATGTTTTGCCTACACACGCGTATGAGCTTCAGTGACATCCCATTATTAATCCACAGGGTTTCATATGATATCAGCATACCATTTACAGCTATAACAACTTTAACACTTCTGGGAAGTCTTTCCACAAGGTTGAGAAGTGTTTATGGGAATTCTGACCATTCTTCCAGAAGCGTATTTATGACACTGATGCTGGAGGAGAAGGCCTGGCTGTCAGTATTCACCCTAATTCATCCAAAAGCCTTCTATCAGGTTGAGATCCGGACTTTGCAGGCAAGTTCTTCCACACCAAACTCGCTTGTCTATGTCTTTATGGACCTTGCTTGGTGCACTGGTGCACAGTCTGTTGCCACAAAGCTGGGAGCATGAAGTTGTATGGAACCAACTCCTGAGAAACGACTCCACACCATAATCCGTCTCTACTGCTCTAGAGTCCAGTGGCAGTCAGCATATGATGTAAGGCTTGGATGCAGCTGCTCATCACATGACTATGTACTGTTCTTGAGCTGATCTGAAGCCACATGAAGTTTGGAGTTCGTTAGCAACTGACTCTGTAGAAAGTCGGCGACCTCTGCGGACCATGCGCTCCCAGCATCCACTGACCCCACTCTGTAATTTTCTGTGGCCTCCCACTTCATGGCTGAGCTGCTGTCATTCCCAGTTGCTTCCAATGTATTATAATAACTCAAATTGTATTTGTCACAAACACAACCATACACAGTATGACATGAGGTGAAACGCTTGTAGCTGTGACCATTAAATGACAGTAGGTTTACAGTAAGATTTACAGAAAAAATTTACAGGTTACTACAAAAATTTACAGCTTCAACTTAGAAATTTACAATAAAAATGTGCAAATAACAGTTTACGCAAGATGTTATTAGTCAAAAGAAATTATATATTATAGGAAGTGTGCAAGAAGAAAAACCAGAGTGCGTGTGGTGATGTGATGTGTGTGGGAGAGTCCAGTCCTACACCTGGTTCAGGGCCCGAATAGCCTGGGGGAAGAAGCTCCTCCTCATTCTCTCTGTTTTGGTCTTAAGGGAGCAGAAGTGCTTCCCAGACCTCAACAGTCAGAAGAGTCCATTGTTGGGATGGGAGAGGTCCATCATAATCTTCCTAGCTTTGGACTTGCACCAAGTTCTTTAGCACCCTCAGTGGCAGATGGAAGTCTCTAAGTCTTCTGAGGAAGAAGAGACGCTGACGGGCTTTCTTAACCAGGGTGTTGATGTGACAGGACCATGACAGGTCCTGAGCGATGTGGACACCCAGGTATCGGAAACTGTCCACTCTCTCCACTGGCGTGCCACTGATGATGAGGAGCTTGTAATTCCTCACCTGCTTTGTAGTGAAATCCACGATCAGCTCCTTAGTGTTGCTGATGTTTAGGAGGAGATTATTCTCCTGGCACCAGGTCTCCAGGTTCCTAATCTCCTCCAGGTAGGCCGTCTCGATGTTGTCGGAGATCAGGCCCACAACAGCAGTGTCGTCAGCAAACTTGACAATGGAGGTGGTGTCTGATGTGGCTACACAGTCATAAGTGTACAGTGAGTACAGCAGGGGGCTTAAAACACAACCCTGAGGTACTCCATTGCTGAGTGAGATGGAGGGGGAGACTTGTTTTCCCACCCTCACTGATTGGGGTCTGTCTGTGAGGAAGTTGAGGATCCACTGACACAGTGATGAGCTGAGTCCTAGATCCGTCAACTTCGTGAAAAGCTTAGATTGAATTATTGTGCTGAACGTCCACAAACATAATCCTAACATAATTCCCTCTGCCAGTGTCCAGGTGACTCAGGGATGTGTGGAGCAGGTGAGCTATGGCGTCGTCTCTGGAACGATTAGTCCGGTAAGCAAACTGAAGTGAGTCAATGGTGGCAGGAAGTGAAGAAGTAATGTGATCTTTCATCAGTCTTTCAAAACACTTCATCACAATTGAAATCAGTGCTACTGGGCGGTAATCATTGTGGCATTGGGACAGGGACAATGATGGACTGTTTGAAGCACGTGGGAACCACTGCTTGGGCCAGGGAGAGGTTGAAGATCTCTGTGAACACCGGTGCTAGCTGGTCAGCGCAGGCTCTCAGAACCCGGCCAAGGATTGCATCTGGTCCTGCTGCCCTCCTGGTGTTCACCCTCCTGAAGGTGTTCCTCACGGCATGCTCTGTGATGATGAATGCATTGTCTTCACTGGTGCACTCCATGTGCGCAGCGAGCATAAAACGTTTTCAGCTCATCAGCCAGTGAAGCGTCGGCATTCATACCACTAACAGCTGACTGTGGAATATTTAGTAGCGAGGAAAGTTCACGACTGAACTTGTTCCACAAGTGGGATCTTCTCACAGTCACACGGTGGAATTCGCCGAGCTCCTGAGAGCAACTCATTCAAATGTTTGTAGAAGCAGTCTGCATGCCTCGGTGCTTGATTTTATACACTTGTGGCCCTGGGAGTGGTTGGAACACCTGAAGTCAGTGGTTTGGATGGATGAGTGAATACTTTTGGTAATAAAGTGTAGTTAGAAGCTCCGGATTTAGAAATAACATGAAACATGTGATGTTTGCTGTATCCTGTGAAATACTGTTGAAGTGAAATAGCTGACCTATGTGTTTATCAGTGTAATGATGAAAACTATTCTGTTATCTCATGTTTCACTTCCTAAAACGGCCTTTTCTGCACTTAGAAAGTTTAAGAACGATAACAGAAACCGATCAGCCAACTGCTTTGAGTCTATTTTGGAGAATATTATGAAGTGCACAGTTCCTGCGGATTAAAACTGCCATAAATGAATGATGAATGTCGACTCTTACATTTTTCCATGTGGGCTGCTGTTTCGGGAGCATGGAGAGCAAAGACGACAGGAGAAAGGGAGGAATCACTGAACCCAGAGGCTGATGCAGATGTGCGAACAGCTGGCTCAGGCTGCATGCAGCACGGCCTTTGCTGCTTGTTGCTGCTGCGGTTCGGACAGGATGGCGAGCTCTGCTGAGTCATGCGAGGCTCGTCTGCAGCTTGTGAGAAGGAACAAGCGCTGACAACCTCAGCTGTTAATTTAATTATTGATCGAGGGAGGCACGGCGACCCGCGCACTGTCACACGCTCTGCCCTGAGCCGCTACAAATAATAGATAGAGGAAACTCCCTGGAGCCCACTCTGATGAGATTTTGTGTGTGCGTAAACGGTGATGAGAGCGAGCTGGCTCGAGCACAGCTGCTTATTGGCCTCATGTATTTCTCTTTTATTCCTAATCCAGGGGAAAACGCGGATTAACAAGAGCTGTATGGGTGGGATGAAGCGCACGCTGACATTTTTTAGTTCCGAGAGCCCATCCTGTGTTTCAGCTGATTATAATTCAGCGTGAGACCGTAAATATAAAAGGATGCTTTGCAGCATCAGAAAAATGTCACACTTTAGCTTTTATTGACACACAGTTGCAGGAAAAAAGAAAAAAAAAACGTCCTCTGAATGTGTTCACCATGACAGCTGTGCAGGTTTCACGCTTAATTGATTTTTATTTCCTGCTTTGACTTTGTTGATATTTTCGGTTTGTCCTGCAGTCCCCAGTTTGCCCACTGTGTCCCAGTCTGTCAGCGTTTCAGTGCCTCTCCTGTCTCTGTTATCATGCTGTCAGTTATTTGTCTTGAGGTTATTTTAGGTTGGTTTTCTGCTGTGTTGTGTTTTTAATTCCTGTCTTTGTGCTTCTTCTGTTCCCTGATTGCCTTCAACTGGCCTTTATCCCTGTCTGAATTATATGCGTTTCCATCGGATTCTACTTTGTGCTACCGTGTGATTTTGTTTATTTGGACTATTGATCAGCCAATAAAGACTTTTGTTAGAAAGAGGTTTGCTGATGCTCATCACACTGGAAAAAGACTCCAGAACTAACTCTAACGGTCTGCACCACACAGCAGAGCTTATTATTTTCCCGAAAGAAAAAAAAAAGTCTAGCTCTGCGACTCCCATTAATTGCAGTTTTACTTTTATTTAGGGGGTTGATGGTTTCAGAGGATGGCTCTGCTAGGTGCTCAGTAAAGTTTTAGTGTTTAAGCGCAGCCCATTGTGCAGTCACACTGCAGCAGCAGCCTGCAGTTCAGTCCCGTTTCTCAGGGGCACGTGACAGGAGGAGGGAAAGGAGCTGCGACCCTGACTGATCCTGCTGCCTCAGCATTAAAAACTTTGCCACCGTTTCTCTACAGCTTTGCAGTAAAATGTGATTTACAACTGTCATAACTAACATTTTACGGTAATAGCTGCAGAAAGATGTTAATGTTTTAGAATGGCAACCATCTCTCTTTAATGTGCGTGCATAATGGTGCATCATGGCTGGAAGTCACTGTGATCTCAAACAGCACAGCATAATAGCTCGGTAGTTCTTCTTGTCCTTCTGGCTGCTCGCTCTAGAGGTCACCACATCTATTCTTAGCATCTGTCACGCCAATCCTCTGCTTCCACAAATCTCCTCTGTGCTCTTCCTGCTTTCCTCCATATCGATTTTAACCATTTTTATTTGAAAAGCTGTGATAAATAATATTATTTTGGCATTATTAGGCAGAAAAATCTGTCCACTTACTGTACATTAACTCCTGGACAGTTCGTTTTCCATAGAAAATCCAACCTGTGATCTTTTTGGCTGTTACTACTCTACTAGCTGTTATAGTGGGAGAGAACGCTGAGGGAACATTTCCAGCATTAATAAGAGCCACCTGCGCCGCAAAGCATCCAACTGAAAGGTACGCAGTCATTTCAACTCTGCAAACTCTGGGAATATAATAAAAATAATAAAAATGCAAAACACGGAGGTGCAAAAAAATGCAGTTCCTCTAACGGCCACTTGAGGCGGGCTTTAAAGTGGTAACAATTATACATATAGTCTGGTTCAAATAGTTTTGGCCTCTCATAACATCTGTACAGTGGGTGAATTACTCTATAACTCCTCTATCTGGACACTGTTAAGGGTTAAAATTAGGGGTGTGGCCACTTTGATTAACAGGGAGCTGTAGTTGCTCTGTCCTGTTGGGCCTCACATTCACTAAATCACTCAGTCACTGAACTGGACTTCGTCACCGTGTTTGTGCTGCTGATGCCTAATGGAGCATTTTTAATGCAAATATATGACTAAGTATATGGTCGACTGTGAATCAGCCCAGGCAAGAAGTTTGGGCTGCACTTTAAGTGAGTGAACGTCAATAGTTAATTTTAGTCTGTTGCTTAGAAATAATCAGCAGGTATCTCTGTTTCTGCACATGGTTAGGAAAAAATAACATTTTTAGGTTTCCAAACATGGAATCCTAAATCGGTGGATGACCTCACGGTGGTTTATATCCAACTTTTACATACAGTCTATAAGTCTGACAGGTTAAAGCACAGGTTGATGTCGGCACGGCCTACTCCTACTGATCTCTACATGCTGTTTATCCAAAAAGAAAAAAACGATGCACATTAAACAGGACGTGTCACTGCATCCTGCTCCTGTTCTGTGACAACCTTTTTAATCATCAGAGAAGCATCCACCGACAGTCTTCGGTTACCAAAGCACTCTACTTAGATAAACATGAGAAAGGTCAGTGAGGAGAGGGCCAAGCAGCTTTCACACTGAAGAGGCCAGATGTCCTCACACAAGTGTTATTTCCAGGTAATCTGGAGTATCTAACGGCTCTGATTTATAGTGAAAGTGGAGGCTGTGTTGTTTCAGATGCAGGCCAGCACTCCCCTGACGTCAGCTTGGCCTTTTCAGTAAAATGTCCCTGCGTTATTTCAGCACAGGACGACACCAAGCTGCCCGCCCCGTCGCCTGTTTTTGCTCAACTGCTGACAGAAAGACAACACACCCACACTGGAATAAATGCATAGTTTATCATATCATAACAATAAATTCTCAAGGCTACATTGTTAATAAAACAGTCTAGTAGATTTAGCCTAAATTCTGAAGAAGGAAGTGAGGTGAACAAAACGTGTCATCGAGAAGAAGAGGTACAAACGTGACACTGCATTGAGAATTAACGGTCATTCTGTGCAAGACAACAAAGATGGCTCTAAAAAGGTAAAACTGCTGCAACTACTGAGAGTGATCACCTTGCATTTCGTACGGCTACGAGCTACCGAAGATCACAATTTAGGCTACTTCTGCTACAGTACAGTATCGCTTTAAGTTCCTCTAGATACCTGAATAAAAACAGCATTCTGCTGTGAAAAAAGAGAAAAACCAGAAAGTCCTCTATAGGCATGAAAAAAAAGAAGTCTCCATTAGTGCAGAGCAGGGTCCTTGAGGAGTTGCAGGGGTTCCTGAAGGGGTTTGTAGGCTGGGGTTTAGGGCTCAAGCACTCTTGTGGGGGGTTTAAGAGTTCTTTGGTGGGGTTTTCTAATGAGGTTTCTCGGGGATCAGCTTCGGGGGTTGAGGGGTCTGCTGGGATGTTCTCCAGGATGTTTAAAGGATCAGGGCACACTCATGGTTTCTAAGCTTCCATAAGGTGGAGCATTGGTGTATAAAGTGAATTTTCAAAGGGGACCTCTTATGGTTTTCCTGGTTTTTTGGCATATATCTCCTGTTCCAGTGCTGGATGCTCATATTTAACACGGACAAAGTTTCAAATAAGGAGGTCAGTGCATGTTCAGGCGGTTTTTTCCCCCTCAGCTCTTTGTGATGTCATAGAGAGCGAGAGAGCGCTCTCAGGTACAGGTCCCATCCACCTGCTGTTTGCATTGGGCAGCCAATTAGAAGAGAACTGATGAGCTGAGGGGCTTCAACAAGGCCATGTGGGAAAAATAAAGATTATTTTGAACTGCTGATCATGCAAAGCTACTCTAGCAGGTTGCCAGAGTGTAAAATACAGAGCTGGAAGTGAGCAGGAGAGGTCCAATTTTCACAGGAACGTGAAAGAGTTAAAGCACGGATGGACTAATGAGCGACCAACTGGGCACAGACATTGGTTAGATTTACACTAAGAGGCTAGGACAAGTGTGAAAAAGACACCGAAATCTCAGACTGAATGGTCTGAATGTATGGTGGGTAATCTAAAGAAGTAGCATCTGTGATCTCACTTATAGAAGGAGCAGCAGAAAAATAATCCCTGTTTCTGGTTAGCTGCACATCATAACGAGTGATCTAGAGACTTAATTTTTCTGTTATTTGTTTTGCTTAGAATATGATGGAAGAAATGAAAGCATGCAACATACTGTATGCTCTCAGAACCCAGAGGGTTTTTCCCGTCATCCACCTAAAACTCAAACACATTCAATGAAGAGTCACATAAGAGAGAAAAATCACCAGGTCCTGGAACATTAAAAGCTTCAGCAGACAGCGTTCGATAAAGAAATAATGTGACCTCTGCTGAGGATGCGGCATTCAGATGCAGGACCTTCTTCAATCTGTCATTTTGTAGTGTGATATCTGCTCTCAGTGGTCAGGACTCAGCCTGAGAAGTGATTACTGAAATTTAACTGCAGCACTCGTTTACCTGCGACACCTCACGGGGAGTCCCAGAGGAGTGCGGGACCTTTTACATGTCTGCACCCAGGAGTCCTGCTTCACCTAATCCATCCATGATTTAAAGGATGTAAGCATGACTCTCAGAATAACCAACATTTACAGGCACACAGCCACAAATCAGAGGGAAGCAGCCCTAAAAGATGCCAGGTGTGTGTTCCTAAGGCTTTCTCTCATTGGACAGACGAGTTCAGTGAAATGAAAAACAAAAAACCATAAACCCCCTCAGGACTGGGTGTTGGGGTGAAGCTGGAAAGAAAAAACCCCTCCTCCTCCTCCTCTCCACCTGCATCCTGCATGCGGAACACTGATGCATCCCGGCAGCACCTGCCCCCCCTCTGTCCTCCCTCAGGTCCTCAGTCAGCATCCCAAACTCTGGATGCAGTCATGTCTGTCTGTGTGCCGTCATCTCTCATCCATCCATCCATCCATCCGCCGCCGCAGCGTTGTGTCAGGTGTGTGCAGTCACTTATTTAATGCGTGCGTGCGTGCTGTAAAAGTCATCAAGGCTTCGCCAGGCACACGTTCTGGTTCGGGTTCTGGTTCGGTGTCGCGGTGATGTTGTCCGCTTTGCCCGGCGTCCAGAAGAACACGTAGTAAATGACCAGGATGAACGCGGCCACGGACACGCAGAGGAAATAGGCGATCGCCATCGCCACTTTCACCCAGATCTTAGTTGACATGTTAGCGTGTTTGGCCCGAAGCTCTCCGGGGTAGCTCGGCCTCCGGTTCATGTCCCCGTTCAGCTTCTCCACGGTCATGTTGCCCTGTCTGCTGGCCGCCTTCATCTCGGTATCAGTGCTGAAGTCTTACTCAAAGATTGCTCCCCAACTGACTGTTGTGCGTTCATCGGAGTCTGCAGACGCTGCCGCCCCGCTGCGCTCCTCCGGGCCCGGATCAGGACGCAGACGCTTCAGGTTCTCTGGTGCGTCTCCGCGGGATGCTGGAGCTCCCTGAGCTCTCCGTGCGCACAGGGCAAACTGAACTCAGGAAGGGTTGCTCCGCTATCAGCTGGATGGGACCGCTAGTAAGCTGCTCTGAATTAAAGAAGTCATTTCCGGCGTGTCTTTTCAAAGTAAAACGAGTGATAAACGTACATAGCTCGAGAATCAAGGTTATTATAGTGAACTAAAAATAAAACTAGATGTGAAAAAACATTTTTGCTAACTAAAATAATTAGAAGAAAGTTACATGCTGAATTTAAAACGACTGAAAGATATTTTTCTCCCAGGCAAAAACAGAGAAGAAAATAATGAACATTAAATATCCAAACAAAGTCTTGATGCATGCTCAATCATCCAGGTAAGTAAATCCCCAAAAGTAGATTCTGTTCAGCTGAATCTGGACGTAGCGTTTCCAGATCTACAAAATCAAATTTTGGGGAAGTAAAAATGTTGAGTTTGGAAAAGTGGGAATAATTTCTCTCGGATTTGAAGAGCAAAATGATAAATGTGACGGATTAAAGGAAGCGGCTCTAAAATGGAAACAAAGTCTGAAAAACTGTAAGTAAATAGATAAACAACCTGAAGCTAACACACCAGTTAACACGGGACTTACTTCTTCCTTCATTCATGGCACACTTGCGCACGGACTGCTCCAGTACAGCCAAACTACTGGCTGTACTGGAGTCCCTGCTGAGTTATTTGTAAGCTTTGGTACCCTAACCTAACTCTGGTGTCTTATCTCTGCGTCCTTCAGTGTTGACCCATCACAATCATTCGAAGTCGAGATGTTGAGATGCTCTTTTGTCGTCAGTTACTCTCAAGGCCAAAAGAAAACAGAAATCCTCTTATTGTGAAGGAATTTTTGCCACGTTTCCGGCGGCCTTCCGAGTTTTTCCTGACAGTCTTTACGAAACTGTGGACGAGGAGGAGCTCAAAGTACGCAACACCTGACGATTGGGTCATAGTTTGGGAGAAACGTCCCGCAGCAGAAGGCGCAGAGCCATCTCCATCCACAAATCATCACCGCCTCAGATTTTCTCCTCCAGCCAAAACAAATCTGTACAGAGACTGTAAAAAAAAACAAAAACCCACCGAGACATCAGAAACCTCAAAATAAAATAAAAATAAATAAATAAACCCTCTCTGCACAGATGAGTCACAGGCAGCGGAAGGAGGGGGGATTACTAGCCCCCGTTATGTAGTGTTAACTGAGGATGAGGAGGAACCGTTTGTCTTCCTGTCCTGCAGCGAGCAAGGTCACAATGTTCAAACAGGAGCTGCGATGCTCGTGTGTGCAGACGCAGATCGGCTTCTCAGTCCGGGACTGTGTCTGCGAGCAGGACCTGAATTCACGCGTCTTGGTGGCGGACAAACGGAGCAGAGACGGTGTCGGTGATCCAGATTCTGTTATGTAGGAAATATTACCAGCATTTTAAATCATTTCCTCACGTGGAGAACAAACACGTTAGACTTCAGAGAGAGAGAGAGAAAACATTTATTGGCTGAATGAATAAAACACAAACATAAAGCAAAAGTTTGCTTTTCATTTCATTGAATATATTTTTTAAAAGCTGTACAAGCGTCTAGATGCTCCTTCCCTCTCTGACGTGGACATTTCTCATCGAGGTCTTTCATAACATAAAAAAAAACAGAAGCTACATCTCTTTGGATGCCTTCTACATTTGTGTTTTCAGAGAAACTTGATGAACTTGGGGTCAGAGAAATGAGGTGAAACTTGCCCTCAGAGTCACACTCAGATTTTGGATGGAAGAGGCAATCACCTCCTCTGCCAAAGCAGATCCTGAGCTGAGGAACATGCAGCTTACTCTCCATTAGTTCCCTACAGCGTCTCTGATCATTCTGATTTCCTGTCGGTCGTCCTGGAGAAGGAGAAAACCTGCCCGGAGACGCCCCTGCTGCACAGGCTGCTGGAGGAGAATCAGCAGGTGGGCGAAGACCGAGAACGCTGGACAGTAAAACTTGATTAGATATCAGCTGCCTGCTGGGCTCAGGAGGTGAACCAATCAAAGTGGCTTCACCTAAACATGCGTGCTAGGATGCAGCAAGCTGAACAGCCGATAAAAGGACTGGACTGTGATGGACACCGGACTAACACACACAACCACGCCCTGCTCAAACCGGAGAGAAGAGGAAGATGAGGAAACTTCAGAGATCACAGGCTGCATTTCGCACAGACATTCAATGCTGGAACAAAAACTTCAATTCCTTTTATAAAACTGTACATACTGCAGTTTTCTTTCAACCCAGAGGCATCACTTTTATTCCTTGGATACAGAATACAAAAACCAAAGCATCCCCACTCATCCACGTGTGTTTAAACACCACAGTTTCAACGCTCCGGCTGATGCGAGCTGAGAAAACAGACTCACTCTGAAGCTCTTGGCCCGCTGAGGTATGAGAGAGCGGTTTCACTCCAAAATAAACCATCAGAACAAAAAAAGAAAAAAAGAGACAGTTTCATTCACAAACGACAGTTTAAAACATTTGCATTTAATCCCAAAAAACAAAACAAACTTCATATGATGGAGGCAGCGAGTCCTAAGAGGGCCGGGAAAGTGTAGTCGCCTAAATGTAAAGCAACATCAGAGAGAATTACATAATCAAATCATCAACTGGAGTGACTTTTTTTTCTGTGTACATAATTGATTTTGATAGATTTGAAATAAAGAGAAGACCCGAGTAGGTCACATGATTCTTTCAGGTAAAGCAGGTGAACAGCAGCTGATTAAAAAGGAAGAAAACGTCAGGAACACGCGGACAAACCTCAGTTTCACTGATTTTAATCTGGACACGTCAAACGTGCTGCAGTTCAGAAATGGGTGAAACTGAGGTTTGAGGACTTGTTGGGAGTTTCTTCTTTAACCCTCTACTGCACGCCTTACCTCCTGATATTTAAACTCACCGATGGCCTTTCAATGGAACGATAAAGAGAAAAGGGATGTGTGACCTGCGGGGATGAACATCTCGCGTGGGTTTTCTCCCACAGTCCTGGTTTAAAACCAAAATCAACACAGCGGGTCGTCTGGGAGGACGATGCCTGCTGAATCTGTCTTCATTACAGACTCACAGGGGTTAATTTCACAACTTTCCACAACTTCCCAGAGACTTCCTGTTGGAGCGAACGCTCCTGATTTGCACAAAGAACCCTAAACTCCTGCTTAATGCAGATGAAGACGTGGCGGCTCGATGCTGTGCCTTTTAAAACACCCCTCTGCTTTACGCCTGCACCAACACCGCAACTATGCAGTCGGTGGATTCCTGTGTTGCAAATATGTGAATCTCTTTGTAACTCAGATCAGATCAAATGCACTGTGTTAGGCTCAACATAGTGACACGACTGAAGAGAGACTGCTGATGGCTGCTGCCTCTGAGGACAAGCAAACTTCAGCTTTAGGATAAAAATATCACAAAAATGTGATTTTCACAGAATTCTGAAGCAATATTTTTGTGTTTTCAGATTTGATCAAAAATGAATCCACATAATAAATTAATCTTTATGAAAAGTGTCTGAATTTCATGCTGCACTTCCCCAATAATTCAAAGACACAGTTTATGTTGTTGCACAGCGAGTCTGTGCAGTTCAAAGAACAAATCTTTGCTTAAGTGTTGATTAAAAGTTATATTTAGTGATAAAAACTTGATCAAATCTACTGGCTGGCTTGGGAATGACTGTGTCAACATGGATGAGTTGGAGAAGATGGTCGGGATGAGGGAAGTCTACTCAGACTGCTGCCCCTGTGACCCGAACCCAGATAAGTGGCAGAAAACGGACGGATGGATGGAAAACGCCAACATTTCGCCCAAATGGTGTAACTATGTGTGCAGTAGAGTTAAAAAGCCGTCACCATTCAGATCGAGCCGGTGTGCCTGACACCTAAACAGTTGCTGTCCTCGGAGTAAAAAGGGCGCCGTTTTACTGCCACCATCTACTACAAACAATAACTCATTACATGATATTATTACGTTCGATATTGTTCGACACAAAATGAGCCGATGAACAGCAGAGTTTGAATCTGAGCTGAATTAGAATCACATCATCAATTAAAATTTAATTATATCTGCGTCATCTGTGCCGCCACCTTAAAAAATGAAGCGGTGAAACTACAGCGTGACCTGATGGAAAAGACGGAAACTGATCGGAAAGAAGCGAGCTTAGCAAACAGCTGTCACCTCTGCTTAAAGCTCAACATTAACTGGGTCTGGCAGCTGTAATCCTGCCTTTTTAATTTCAACAGCATCAAGAAAATAAAATTGAGGAAAAGGCAGATTTGTTTTTCATTGATTAATGTGCTTGAGATCCTCTTACAGGATATCAGTTTAAGCGTGGTCAATATCTGTGTCAATCACCATTTTCTTGTTTCCTGTAACTATGTTAGAACAGGACGGCGATCGCCTCATTTTGCAGACGATCGGCTAATAAGATGAATCCAATCAATCAATCACTGGGGAAGTTGGAAGTTAATGATTGTCTGTTTCCCGTGGAGAAATTCTGGTTCCTGGTCCTGAACGGAGAGACCACGTCGACCTTATACAGGCTGGGCGATCAATGGGGATGAGAGCCTGCTGGACAAAAAGGATGCAGTGAAGTAATCCAGGTTACTGTCTGTAACTTCAGCAGAACCTCTGAGGCAGAAACGACCTCTGTGAGGCTCTCAGGGCAGTGTTAGAATGACTTTTTCACACGAACACAGATGTTCTCTCGCAGCAGAGACAACGAGTCTGTAGAGAGAAGTCGCCATTTTTAAACCAAGACACTGATGGACATTTTACTTTTGATGTCTCAGTACTACAGAGAGAGGGGAGGTGAAGCAAAGGGAGGGGGTGTTTGATCACAGCTCAGAGCGCTAAGGAGAGGTTGGTCCGTGGAGGCAATGCACACTTCCTCGTCCTCCACCTCCTCATCATGGATGAAGTCATTTTTTTCCTGTTTTTTAAAACAAATTTAGATATGCAGTGGTCACGGATGAGTAGTGTGATGCATCCAACTCCTCCATCCATCCATCCATCCTCAGACGTGCTGCAGCTTCAGTCTGTTGATACAAACAAAAGGAG